GGTCTCCCTGAGCTCAGAGCTAGAAGAGGTAAAGGAAAAAAAGGAGAGAAAAGCTGCTGACCTACCCCCCACACCCCCACCAAGCAAGAACTCTTCATAGCCCAAGGAGGAAATTGCTGGAAGTACCTCCACTTTCAATTGTCAGGAGGGGCCCCTGACTCATTGCCTACCCTAGTGGATTATTTCCTGATAGTTCTTCCCAGAAAGGTAGAACCAAGCCCCCACCTGTGAAGAGACTGGTACCCATGTGTTCACATTTCAGTAATAATAACTGGAAATTCTGAGTTACATAACAAAAAAAAACTAGGGCTTAATTATCTACTTTGTGAAAAATTTTGTTTGCCTAAAAGGCAACATTTTCCCATGTAATTTTTATTTGTTTATTTTATCTATTTTTAGAGAGGAAGGGAGAGGGAGAGAGAGAAACATCGACATGAGAGCAAAACATCCACCTGCTGCCTCCTGCATGTGCCCCAATGGGGAATCGAACCTACAACCCAGGCCTGCACCCTGTGCCCTGACCCGGAATCAAACCAGTGACTTTTCAGTGCACGGGACAATACCCAACCAACTGAGCCATACCAGCCAGGATCCATATAAATTTTATAACATCCTCCTACTGTATAGGTGCTATGTGGTTTGATTCCTGTTATTTTCAGGAGGTACTTAATTGCATGCAAAAAATTTTTTATGACCTGTGTATATGTAAACTAATTTTCACAGTAATTCTGAGGCAGGTACTGATTATTATGTTTTATAGGTAAAGAAATTAACTTATTTTAAGATCACACAGCTAGTGAATGGTGGAGTTGGGATTTGAACCCAGTCAGTATGGCTCCAGAGTCTGTACCTTAATGGATTTTAAGATCCTCCATTACCAGATCCTCATCAAAGAACAAAATGCCTTTCTAGAGTTGGCATTCTGTAGCATGTAAGCCTTAGTTGTAGGTTCTTGATAAGTCAGAGCCATAAGGATTGCTTAGGCTTGGGAGGCTAAGAGCAGACACTATGACCTTAGCCCAGCCGTGGGCAAACTACGGCCCGTGGGCCGGATCCAGCCCGTTTGAAATGAATAAAACTATTGAAAAAAAAGACCGTACCCTTTTATGTAATGATGTTTACTTTGAATTTATATTAGTTCGCACAAACACTCCATCCATGCTTTTGTTCCAGCCCTCCGGTCCAGTTTAAGAACCCATTGTGGCCCTCGAGTCAAAAAGTTTGCCCACCCCTGCCCTAGCCCCTAGACCTCAGCACAAGGCTATTTAGGGGGTTAGTTCTGCACTGTTATCCTTGCATAGCTAGGATCCTTTCTCTTTCCTTCTCAGGGGTATAAAGTGGGAGACATATAGAATTCTCTTTCAGACAAATGTTAATGAAACACCAATTCCTTTATTTTTTAATTTTTTATATTTTTATTAATTTCAGAGAGGAAGGAAGAGGGAGATAGAAACATCCATGATGAGAGAGAATCATTGACCGGCTGCCTCCTACAAGTGGGGGCCAAGCCCACAACCCAGGCATGTGTCCTTGACCGGAATCAAACCCGGGACCTTTAAGTTCACAGGCCAACACTCTATCCACTGAGCCAAACCAGCTAGGGCAACACCAATTCTTTTAAACTTACATATATCTGGAGTTGTTAATTCTGAGTACCAGAGATATTCAGATGTGAAACAAGCATGGTCCTCAAAAAACTGACAAGGTAGAAAATTATTTTTTGTTTCCATCCCTGGCTCACTAGTATATTCAGCAAAAGGAAGAATTGTGTGTAGTCTCCAGCTCCAAAGCAGTAAGTTGGGTGATGGAGGCTGGTCGAGTTCACAGGGATGCCACTTGGGATGATACCATTTTTAAAAATATTTTAAAATATTTTTATTGGTTTTTAGAGGGAGAGGAAGGAAGAGGAAGAGATAGAAACATCAGTGATGAGAGAATCATTGATTGGCTGCCTCCTGCACACCCCCTACTGGGAATCGAGCCTGCAATCTGGGCATGTGCCTTTGACTGGAATTGAACCCAGGACACTTCAGTCCGCAGGCCGATGCTCTATCCACTGAGCAAACCAGCTAGGGCAGGATGATACCACTTTATTCAGTGCTTGGCATGTGTGAGGCACTGTGCTAAACCTTTTATTCAATATATACTATTTAATCCTCAGAACTGTTACACATATGAAGTAGATACTGTTATTAATCTTACAGATGAAAAAACCAAAGCACAGAAAAATCAAATGACGTGCTCAAGTCACCCAGCATGTGTTAGAAATGCCATTGAACCTAGGCAGTCTGTAAAACTTTTGCTCTTAGCTATTCACTATATTGCTAATATCCTGGGTTAGGATAGCAGCAGGA